CTACATACTAATTTCTTTAAAAACTAGTTTAAATTCACTTTTTTTATTTTTAAATTGATGAATTGAATTTCATAGAAGTCTATGAAACAGCTAACAAGTGCCCAACATACATGTGAACTCTTTAAATGCAGTTTAAAAAGCATCCCAGAATGCACTTTAAGGTGCAGAGCTACATAACTCACATACTTCCATTGCTGTTATTTCATAGTTTGCTGACTTTACTATTATTCCAAAATCTGGAAAATTATAATAATAAAGAATGAGTATGCACATCCAAATAAGCACTGTACTGTACTGTACTGTAGGTTAATTCTGTTTAAATATGTAATAAGGTTTTTTAATTTAAACTGTCTGAATAACTTACGGCACTTCTTAAACCGGCTTTGGCATTTGTCCTGAGCGAGACGCTGGCAGGCAGAGGGGTCGAGGGTCGAAGAGCAGGATAGTGTGTAGAAGTGGCAGAGCGTGGTAAATTCTGACATCTGCTGTTCTTCAGACAGCTCAGTTGTCTTAAGCAGCTCAGGACATGTGGGCTCCCGACTCCCAAAGGACTCTGGAATTTGGAGAATGGAATGTAAATGATTTTGCAGGATTTGTGGCTTTTCATTGAGCAGAAAGAGTGGGAGGGTTTAAACTCACGGTGGTGGAGATTGTAGTGTGTAGTAGTAGTAGTAGTTTCAGTAGTGTGTGTGCAACATGTTGAGGAACTCACTCTGTATCTCTGTCATGACCCAATCAGAGAAGGCAGTGACCCGTGTGTAAACGCCAGGCTTTCCCCTCTCCCCACAGCCATCCCCCCAAGAGGTGACGCCAAACAGCTGAAACCGTCCCGATAAACGGTCCTGGAAGATCAACGGCCCTCCAGAATCACCCTGTACACATGCAAAGAGACGGATTCAAGTCAGGTGATTGTAAAGCAGCTGTAGTGTTTATAAAGCATATGTGATGTTTCTTCATCATAATGCAAGCTAGTATGACAATGTGGAGATACCTGGCATGAGTCAATGCCTCCAGACAGGTACCCAGCACAGAACATGGTGTTTGTGAGCAGCTCCTTCCCCAGTGCACTGCGACACGTGGTGTGAGACAGCAGGGGCACCTTCGCCTCCATCACCACATCTGCAGAGGGTCCGTCTACACACATACAGAGAATCAAGACAAACATAAATAAACACTTCACAACATTTTAAGCAAACATTGTGTGATATTACTGAGCTCTTTTTCTAAAATGTGAGCTATGCAGATTTTCTTACCCTCATACAAAGAGCCCCAGCCGGCCACCAAGCAGGGTGTACCAGCCGGTGGATCCAGGTCAGAGGGCAGGCAGACAGGTGTGACCCGTTCAGACAGAATTACTGGAGAACTCAGCTCCACCAGAGCAATGTCATTATTAAACGTCTTTGGGTTAAACTACACCAAGAGAAAAGTATTGGACACAGATGGGACACATTTAAAAAAAAATAATAAAACACTCTGCATTGTTTTACATATTAAAAAAAAATATATATATTATATAATATTACAAGGACGTTTTTTTATGCTTACCTTCGGATGAGTGATGATACGATTGACTTTCATGATCTGCTCATCAGGGTCAGTTTTTGTGAGGTCAAACTCTCCCACTACAGCTGTCCAGTAACTCTCACCGCGGCTCCTGATTGGGGGAGATACATTTTATATGTTCACAAAACGAGTACATTCACAAATAAAACAATACCACAAAGCATAATTTATAATCCTTTTCATTAAATGGTGAAAACAGCAATATGATGAAAGACAATGCTGTGGTTTATTACTTTTTAATGTTATGGCACATTTAATTGCTGTTAAAATTGTATATTGTTCTACTATTTTACAACAGCTTGAAATGTCGCTAATCCAAAAATCCACCTGTTTTATAGACCTTATGCGTCAGAGAGACAAATGCACAGAAAATCTTCCATTTTTGAGGTAGCTCACTGTTAAAGAGTAATTAGCTGGTGAAGTGGATTTACTTATAGTAGAGCTAACGAAAGTTATCATGTGCATTGTAATGTTCGAAACGGATGTCATAACAAATGTCAGTTGACCAGGAAGATTTTAAAACAAGTGTTTCATTCATAAATTTCTTTTGACCTTAACTTTACGCTGTGGAAATACAAACCGGAGGACAGAAGACAATGAGCGCAGTGCTGAAAAGGGACAGGGCTAGATAAGGTCCATAAAA